AAAATAGAATAGCATAGAATAGAATAGAACTAGAATAGAGAATAGAATAGAGAATAGAATAGAGAATAGAATAGAGAATAGAATAGAGAATAGAATAGAGAATAGAATAGAACAGAAAAGAAAAGAAAATAGCGGAATGAAGAATTAGGATAGTAAATAAACAGAAATAATAGAAATAAAAATAATAGGATAGAGGGTAGAGAATAGAAATAGAATAGAATACAGAATAAAATTAGAGCAGAGCAGAGCAAAAGAATAGAAAGTAGAAAAACTGAAAAGAAAATAGGATAGAACAGAATGGGACGGGATGCTTTCTTTGGCTCAGAACTCGCGCGGGGGTTTTCCCCGCTCCGACACGCCACTTACATTGTAGGCCTTCAGCTGCGTGTGGCTGATGCATTCCCCACTCATGCAGCTCTTCCCTTCCCCGCAGGGCGTCCCGTCGGCCCAGGGGAAATATTTGGTCTGGCACATGAACTGCCCGTTGATCTGGCCGGTGCACCAGAGGGAGGAGCAAGGCGGGTGCATATTGGGACAGTGGCGGGATTCGGTGCCGAAGCTCAGCTGGCACTGCTGGTCCACGTTGTAATTGTTGCCAGGGAAGACGGCGGGCAATTTCAGGGGTTCGTGGGGCTTGTCCAAGAGGCAGGAACCTAAACGGAGAGGGAAGAAAGAAACCGAGTTTTTAGAGGTTGCCGTATCAAAAATCCATTTGTTTTCAAACTGAAGTTCTTTTCTCGGGTGTGAATGACGTACAAATGCGGATAGTTCTCGACTTAGAAACATTCGCTGAGCCACCGAAGTCATGGCGGCACTGGAAAAACGTGACTTATGACTGTTTTTCACACTTACGACCGCTGCGGCAATCTCAGGGTCACAGGATCAAAATTCAGACGCTGCGCAAAACCGACTCGTATTTATGACGGTCGTAGTGTCCCGGAGTCGAGTGATCTCCTTTTGCGAACTTCTGGGTGATTTATGACCATTGTTCACACTTGTGATTCATTTTTATGACGGTCACAACACCCCGGGGTCACGTGATCCTCTTTTTACAACCTTATCCAAGTCAATAGGGAAGCCAGATTCACTTAACGACCGTGTGGCTGATTCAACCACGGCAGCGATTCCCTTAACGAACGTGGCAAGAAAAAGTCGTAAAACGGGGCAGAACTCCCTTCACCAATTTCGCGCTGAGCAACATAAATGTCAGGCTCCGTCACGGTCGTAAGTTAAGGAACAGCTGTATTTTATTTTATTTTTTACAAATATCTATCTATCTATCTATAATATATATATATATATATATATATATATATATATATATA